CACACAGACAGCCTCTTCTCAATATGCGTTTTTGCAATTTACATATATGCAAAAACGCATAAAAAAATGCAAATTTCATTGACGGGAAATGATTTGGCGAACCAGACAAGGTATAAAGCTGAAACTTTGCAGGAATACTCTCTGTCCATGTGTGAGCTAGAGATTTTAAATTCGGCTGTTGCGCACGCTTGTGCAGCGCGTACGACCAAGTCAAAGTTTGCAACTTGGTACTGGGCTAACTTGAAAACTTGCCGGAAAACAGAGGCAAGAATTTTGTCAGCATGTATGCCGCCCACATGGGAAATCGCATACCTAAAACGAGTACAGACTTGCACTTGTGCCCTAACTTATGGCACTTCAAAGATATTTGTAGTAAAGTGGATGTTTCGCTTGCCGGATAGGGTACAAGGCTGAAACTTCTGGGATATTCTACTTCCAAGTGCAGTCTTAATTGTGCTTGGAGGTGAAATACCCTGCAGGTGGGCATAAGAAATACTCAACTTTACCGAAAAATCAGAAACGAGTACGTTTTGCAGTGAGCGACCGTCCTCGTGCAAATATGTAAAAGAACATTAGTTCATTTGCATGCTTGGATTTTTTCACAAACGACAACTCGAAGCTCGAGCAATACTACCACTTTTAGCGAACTGGAAATCTGCATTTTTTAAAAAAAATTGCATTTTTCATCTTAAAAGCGAGCATTTATTGAAAAAACAATCGAGCTTCATAAAAAAAGTAGGTAATCATGTACCTGGAGATTCATGCGGCTCTATAATGCAACACTCTCATCCCAACTGACACCCATTCTGCAGCATGCCGGAAGAACACAAATCACGGCCAATATAAGTCCAAGTGTTTGGCTGTAGCGCAGGGATTATTCCTGCTATTAGAGACCTGCGAATTTTGAGCAAAAACGCATGATCGCACCAGCAAGCCTGGTGCGTTCCAGCCTGGGTTTTTTTTTTGCGTTTCTTGCATCTATGACATGCACAAATGCATTTCTTCAAATTTCAACTTCCAGATCTGTGAAAATTATGAAACTCAAATTTTAGCAATTGTCACTAACTTTTTTTTACCAGATGTAAAATGAATATTCGCATCATCCTAGCTTGCTTCTAGGCTTTGCGCCCGAATTAATTGTGGTCTGTAACTTTGTGCCATTTTCTCGTGCTCAATCGAGTGAATTTCGTGCCATCCCAGCGGACTTATACAAATGTGACAACTGACTACAGACCTCAGAGTGGAAGAGAACTAGACTGAAAGTTTGTTTTGAAAGTGAAGCATCTGGGTTTTTCTACCACTAGTGGATTTAGTTTTAGATCATTTCAGCGAGCTCACGAAAAGGAAAACGCACTGAAAGGGAGTCTTAACTCTTGCAATGCACTTTTTTGAAGGAAAACAAGGGAACAAGATCATTTTAGATAGAAATTATGCCATGACTGAACATGTGAGTAAGCAGCATGCATTTCAGTCTCTAGCTGCAAGTACCGACAGAATAAAGGATGCGTGCAGGAGTAGAACTCATCAGCAGAACCTATTCGCAGAGTGCAAAAGAAGACTATTTACTGATGAATAATGCAGAACGGTTTTAGGAAGAGAGTATTAGTGGAATGAAAGAGAGGAAACGTATGGAAAAATTAATACCGAAAGTGAGCAAAATGGCTCGATTTTTTATTGCTGCGGTTTTCTTTTTTGAATTCATCGAATTTTTCAGGATTTCGCATGCGGCCCAGTAATAACGGCACCACTCCAAGAATCGCTTCAAATCAATGAGGGTGAGGCGGCATCACTTCTATGTGTTGTCTGGGGCGATCCAGCGCCGACTGTGCAGTGGCATAGGGACGGATCAGCTCAGTTACTATATTCGGATGGTAATCGCATTTTACTAGAAGCCGTAGTATCCAGCAACGGAACTTCCTATCATCTGCTACATATTCGACAAACTATATCAGATGACCAGACAACGTATTGGTGCAAAGTTACAACAGGATTTGTCACAAGGGCAAAACGTTTCGATCTTCGAATCAGACCAGTAAGGCTGTCGACGAACACAAATAATAATGGGCCGATATTGCCGAATCCCAGCGAGAGCAACACTGGAATTCCAGATTATCCCGCAGATTCTAATCTCTGGACCATCCAGAAATCCCAGCGCTTCTGGCAGCTGATGCTATTGATTATACTATTATTCGCTGTACTGTTGTTTTTTGTGGCTTGCTACGTTTTTTGCGTTTATTGGTTCCGTATCCACGGTCATTATCGGCGCGGTGATCATAGTAAAACATCCGACGAAGAGGAACCGCTTTACCGCTGCATTGCCTCAAAGCCTAGAACTAGAACAACAGCAGTAGCAACGATATCGGTTAGTGGGGAATACAGTGAAGAGATGCTTCAAGCACATAATCTGAAAAATCGGTTGTTGCGGAACGAAGAACCACATAAGGGAACTGCATTTTCGCGAAGCTGCGGTGGGCTAGCCCGAAAAGCCCCCTTGGCACAATGTGACCGCGACACTTCGGTTCTGCCAATCGTACAAACTTCATTGTGATAAATTTCGATGAAACTTATGGATTCTTTTGTCAAGTGTTTCTTCGCGATAAGCAGTAATGCTTTTACGTGGCAGGGGACAATGTTTCGCACCCACAGCAGTGTATCTGTAAACTGCTTCCGTGGCAAATAGTGGTGTTCTTGCTCAGGTGAACAACAGCCACTGATTTTTGCATTCCCCGACCACATCTTAACTGATTCGGGCCTGTACTCAAATTATTTTAATGGCCTCAGCGTCATAATTTCTCAATGATACTTCGGAAAGCAAGTTAAAGAAAAAAGAAAATATTATCTTTCCCATGGAAACCGTCTTACTAATTCGTTTTGCACAGCAATGCGCGATTTTGACTTAAGCAATTGGAAACAAAATTCACATTCGAAGATCAAAAAAAAAGAAAACAAGAAACTCAGTTGCCGGAACGAGGGAAAAATTATGAAACGAAAGAACTGATGGTACTACTGAATCACAAATCTTCATAATTAACAACTCGCAGTCCGAACAAATTTTAGCACCAAACATGTACCTCATATTTTCGCGTTTTGGAAGGAAATCCAAGCAATGCAAGAACGCATTATTCAGAAAGCAACAATATATATATATATATATATATATATATATAT